CCGCGCCAGAGTGGAATATATTACGTTATAATATCGTCGAACTAGCCTCGTTGCTCACGAGCCCTTTTATATCTCTTTGAAGTCGAACAGGTTAGAGAACAGACTACGCTTAATGCAATAACGTTAATGCATCAGCGCTCGATTTTTATTTGGTCCGTACAAAGCGGGTCAGCCTTGAAACGCGTTGCACGAGTGTTATTGCAATTCTCCAAACGGGTAATCGTGTTAAAACGAGGTATACAAAAAGCACAAAGGCAGCTGGATGATCGTTAAAAACACGGTAGGAAATAGTTTCACAAACAGGTTTCCTAATTTTTTTAAGGTTTCATCGATCACACCGAGCACACGACGGTGAAAAATAAATAAGGAGTGATGAGAACGTTCATATAGAAAGAACGAAGAAGGAAAAAGGTCGAAATCGAATCGAACATTGCGAAGAGGGCGCGAGCAATGGCGTGAGAACCCTCCAGGAAACCGGAAGTGTACGATATTAGTCCAATTCCGTGCGCGACAAGTGGAAAAACGTTGGCCAGTGGCGGCTGCTGGCCACCGCTCGAGGGCACACGCGTGCCGCAACAGGAATCCGCTAGGTGACTCGCGTGTGTATTCGCCGCTTGAACCCCGATTAGCCTGCTAGAGGGCCTAATAACAACTAATACCCTAGCCGCGTCATCGAGCTTAAACAGATTTCGCAACCGCTCGCGATCTCCTATACTCTATGCCCAGGCCTAGTGACTCCCTTCTAACCGATTTCACATTTTTACGTTGGGTAAATTGGTCATCGTCGATCGGTGCTCTTACGGTTTCTGTTTAGCAGAAAGAAAAATTCGAAAGATACGAAACAAGCGTTATTTCTAAAAAGTGAATTTTTTCTTTTAATTTCTTAGAAGAATGTAGCTAACATGTGTATCGTTAGAAACGTACGAAGTGTACAGGAATCTTTGCGAAATAAACGATAAACGAACGTGACACGACGAAACGGTGACGAGTGAGAGTCAGCGCGAACAGTTTGTTTTCTGTGCGACGATAAATCTGTGGCTTCTTATCTGTCAGCAGGCGATTACTGCGATCGTCCAGCGGTGTTGTAACAGCGGACGATACAGTACAAATGGACGCCGCGAGACATCCTCGGTGGAAACGCGTATCATGACCTGAACACGGCGACACAAGTTCCTCGAACGTTGCCTCGATTCGCCGATCGAGCTGCCCTCAAATTCGACGTGAATCCCTTGCGTACTATCGGAAATTGCGAGAGTTCAATTTTTTTCGCTACGAATTTTTCTTCTTCTTTTGTTTATCTACCGAAAATTCATTGGTAATCGTTTTGTCACATCTAAATACTCTCACGCTTCGTTGTCTCGGTCATCGGATATCTAAATGCATCGAAAAGGTTAATAAGACAGTGCTGCTGTGCTGCACGAGCTGGGTTATCATTGTAAATAAGCAAAATACATAAATCAATAAACCACTCGCCTGTCCGACTGTGCTTTGTCGCGAATAATATCAGAGGATTTGTAAAGTTGTTTCATGACACAGAAAAGAATATATCTGTATACGAGAGGGATCCTGATTAACGTTCAATTAAACAAAATTTCACTATATCTAGGGAATTTTTCAAAGGTCCTACACTTGCAAAGGAAGAATTCAAAGGCTTTAATGAATAACCGATCCCTCGATCGATAAAGAAGGTTGATTTAATTAAGTTTCGAGATCGGGAACACGTAAAAGTTTCCCTCTGGCTGCACGCTAGTCGGACGATTCAAACTTCGAAGTATACTTCAGCTAGTGAACACCGCGAACACGTAGGCAGACACCGGCCACACACCTACGTGTTTCTAAATAAGTCTTATTCGTAGGTTGGCCGCACCGGAGACGACGAAACGTATGCATATCTTTCCCGATCTTACCGACCGCCGCCGAATCATTCATTCGTATTATTATCTAAACCCGAGAATCTTCGCGAATAGTGCGTGTATTATTATGTTACCGCGACAAGATCTGCACCTACGAACTGAGAAATAATCGATCACAGTAAGCCATTCTATGCACTTTTGATCGCAGAGTAAAAGCGTCTATGGTTAACGTATACGCCGACTCTCTGCAGGATGCCGCCTCTGAAAATCCTCTCGAGCACTGCAATCGCCGGCAGGAGTTCCCTCGAGTACGCAGCAACCGGTCCGAAACACATTCGCTTGTCTCGCTCTTACGCCACAGGCTCTATGCAGTACATAAATCCCGCGTGAAACAGGGCTTACCTACGGCTACAACCCTACTACTGGGGTATTACGAGCCACTGCCACGTACTAGACTATGTCTGCAGTGACACGTATAATTTTGAATTAATAAAAGATGGTCAAGACTGTGTACGCATTATAGAAACGACGTTATTGAATTTTCACCGAAGAATAAATGAAAATCTCGTCGTTTCGTAGGATTATCGTACGATACGCGTATCTTGCTTTTTAGTTTTTCTTCTCAAACAGAAAGTTACTCTTGCGTGGAACATGCGTTGCGTGTCGATACGTAAACGCACGTACAGTTGAAAACACGTGCGTATAGGTTATGTACGCGCGGCACGCGAGAGAACGAGATGGAAAGACCGGGCGTAGAAGTAAAGAGACAGGAACAAGTGCAAGAGAAGAAGGAGAGAAGCGGAGAAGACAGTGAGCAAGCGAACGAGGAACGGAGAAGGAGAGACTAAGGACTACTGCCGTTTTATTGGCAGAGGTGAACGACACTGCCTACTGCAAGGTGGATGCCTGTATTTCGCATAACCGCTCGTCGTTGGAACGTGCCGCGAGTTTATGGGTCACTACGTACTGTTTTCAAGCACCTTCCTACGAAAATAGTAGTGGGAGTTCGTTGAATCGAGATTTATCCGACATCAGAGTGCTGTCGAACCTTGATCCCGCCCCTCTTATAGTGGTTTCTCGTGCTTTGACGATTACCGATTTTAGAGAAAATTATTATTTTGGAATAATGCAATCTGATAATGCCATCTCGCGTAAGAATAAGGGTCAATACATTCAAAGCAATTGCCTTCGAGTTATAAGTACAGTTAAAGTGAATAACGTTGAATTTCCTAATGGCTGATTTACATTGAAACATATACATAACGTTGTACCCATTTCGACTAATTTAAACGGATACCCGGATCGCTTATGAAATTATCATTTCAACGGAACGCGCAGCGGTACTTTTTGAAAATCAACAATTTATCCTGTATGTAACTTCCAACTGGAAAAGATAATAAGCTTGTACAGGTTATGTAAGAGCGATTCGAAGGACGAGCAGCAGGGGAACGGCCTAATCAACGTACGAGTAGAATCAGAATTCGCGGATAATCTGATTTTGCAGTTACTGGTTGTTGTTTTATCAACCAGAGCGATTTGCGATTCGACAAAATAAAATCTCTCCGAGCAAGTGATAAAAATACGTGACGTAAGGTAACACGCACATGGCGCGACGGAAATTTGCAAGCACCAATACAGATTCTAGTTTTCGATTCGTATTGAGTAAAGTCATGTGACTATAACGTATGCATGATAAAATCGACATACGCGATAAAATTTTTTCAGGAGTCAACTTTCCATCGGACATCGAACACTTTTCTATCTTGTCTCTTATGGTCATCTACATTTGCTTTGAAATTTATACTGCAGGAAAATCGGTCGAGCATCGCGAACTGACCTCTGCTTTGCTGTTCCTCATCGATTTTCAGAATATACGTTAATACAAAGTACAGCGGATACGTATTTCACAGAATTAAAATAACTCCTTTAAATCGTCGATAAATTGAAATTTCTATCATCCTATTGCAATTCTATTGAATATTTAGTTAGAAGAAATGAGACTTCGTTTTTGCTAACAAACGTGATTATCACCGAATATTTTGAGGTTAGCTTCGGTGATTTCACGTATCGCTACATCGAACAATTTAATGTATAATTCGTGAGAACAATAGGCTCATGTTATTTAATGTTTCATCTAACATTAAGTCCTAAATATTAATATTGCATTGTCTCATATTTAATACACTTATAATGCTTCTACCAAGTATGAAGGCAAATTTTATATTTGTTACCTATAATTAAAAGTTATTCAATGAGATACATTATAATTGCTGAATAATGCAAGTACCTGATGCTACAATTAATAGAAACAGTTGGAATTATATATTTAAAGAAAAAGGAAAAAAAAAGACAGAATTAATATTAATACATATTAAGAATGTGTATGATGAAATCATTGACGTATCATTTACTAACTTTGTTTACCACTAGAGTATAATTTCACTTCATCTGTATATTATCATTGCTAAATATAAAAATGACAAAAGGACTGCCAACTATATAGGTTCAAAGATGTTTGAACTTTATGGTTGTTTAGGAAATAGGTGGAATATAATTTATCTTATAATATAATAATCATACTGTGGATGAAATTATGTTAATTAATAACATACAACTTTCATTGCGTATTAATGAAACAAAAAGAAATATTATTAAAGAGGACACAGTTTACATTCTCATATCTTAATGTCATTCAAGATACATTTATTCTGATGCAGCATTACCAACTTATGTTAATTCAATAGAACATATTCATATTATTATGTAACATCATCTCTATCTGAATGTCATAACATTGCACCTCATATTGTTCAAAATATGAAAGACATTAGAATGAAACAGTATATTCACAATGATTTTAAGCAAAAGATTAAGCAAAAGCTAAATCATTTTAGCTTTTTGCTTTATTTGAACAGTTCTACGTGCATCTTACACCTTTAAACTCATAGATGATGCAAAAAAGTATGTACTTTACTCAAGCATACAACAGAAATGAATCAAAATGAAAAACAGAGTGAAGAAAGAAGGAAATACTTATTGACAGCTTCTACGCTTGCGCGTACCTTCGATATCTTCATGGCATTTCCATGAAAATGTAAATGTGTGGAGCATGCTAGGAGGTAAATAAGGTAGAAAATCTCAACTAACCTTTGAGCTGTGGTAACTGTTGAAGCTCAACGTCCTGAGAGTTACGATAGCGAGATGAACCCTGTGACTTCTTGGATTTCTTTTTGAGAGATCTCTTGGCGAAAGGATCTATCCGGTCCACAAAAGTCGCTGACGACATGTTGGGATTAGCAGAGGCACTATGAGAGCTGGAGGGAAGAGGAACGTTGGAGGTACTTTCGTGCATCGGCTGCACTTTTCCGGCGTTGGACGCGACTAAAGAAGATTGCGTCCACCCCGAGGAGGCCGCATTCCGTGTCGACGAGGATGTACTCACTACACTCACAAGGACAAAGCAGCACTACACGATTACAAAGCGCACGTGGTTGTATCTGAACACGGTAACCTACTGTTCAGACGTTCCTGAGACAGAGAGGGGTGAAAATTGATAGTGGTGCGTGCATAGCACGAGGAGTTTTTCTGTGTAACAGGGCAACGTGTTAATCGAAGAGGTTTTGTCAACCGACGAGATCCATCAAGTTCACAGGTTCGATTAAAATTCGTCGAGGAATAGCCAGCTCGTTCTGTATCGGCCGAGAAAAGGGGCGCGATCGCTTGTTAGGCGTTGTCACACGCGAACGCACGCCCCGTCGTACGTCGAATCTCCCACCTACACCGTGCAACACAGAAGCGGCACCGTGTCTTTCCTTGGGTCGTATCGTGGATTACGCGTTCCCTGAAACGACCGGTGGTTCGTTCGTCAGCTCGTTTCTTCGCTTTTTCGCCGTACAGACGAATATTTAATTCACGCTGCCGGAGACCGTAAACGGCTGGCAAGCTTACCGTACCGTGCCTGCGTGTCGGATACCGAGTCGCGAAAGAAGCACCGTTACGAAATAGCTCGTAGCTCGTCTACAAGCGGTCTCTTGCTGCGCGAAATCTATCTTCCACAGAATTATCTTCCTGCCGCACGCGGTGGCCGCACTCCGTTTGCGCAACTAAATGCACACACTCACTTAAACGCTGCGATGGGGGACACAGAGGCTCGAACAGCACTCGGCCGCCATCAGCTGCTCGGACCGACGAGCTTCTTTCATTTTTGCCGGAACGACCAGACAGACCGTCAGGCGCTAAGTCCTGCCGAGACGTCTTCCAGCATCGTACGTTTTATTACGCGCACACGAGCCACTACAATTTCGGCATCTACCGCACGTAAAATTTAAATTAAAAAGAAAAAAGGATCCTTGCACCGTCGTCCTCTTCACTTATTGAAAACCCGTCAAGAGGTGCCTTGTGTGCCTGAAAATAGTAATGTGCACTCGGCAATCATCGGCCGGAGATTCCCGATCGAACACGAATAACCACGAACGCCCTAGGTCGCGCCACTTTACGAATCTTTACTCTTTGCCATTGCATCTTGCTTTCTCACTAGTAACAATTTCAATTAGCATCCAACCAATCGGATTATCAACGTTATTTCTAACTATTGGTTGAAAGTCATCCGATAACTATATTTCCTCTTTCGCGTACTTCATTGTTATTTGTTGTTAATACAGACTAGCTACTAATCGATTGATTTCGTTTCTATGAACATGCCTTAATATAGCCGAATTATCAACGTTATTTCTAACTATTGGTTGAAAGTCATCCGATAACTATATTTCCTCTTTCGCGTACTTCATTGTTATTTGTGTTAATACAGACTAGCTACTAATCGATTGATTTCGTTTCTATGAACATGCCTTAATATAGCCGTATGTACACGGCATAGTTGATATTTTAATACGATAGTAAGATAATATTGAAGAGTAAAAGCTTACGATAATTTGTTGGAAAATATTTTAATTCGTTTCTTTGTAAATTTTTCTGTATCTACGATCTTGTATAATACATAAATATATAAGGTTTAAATTTTGTGCAATATTAATTTTCTTTCTATTTACGATTGTAACGTCCTTGTTGAAATAATTTTTTAAATCCTTTTCGTGTCTTATTCTCCATAACGTTCGCGTTCGTATATTTTATATCGTATAAACAGCTGATGTGATATTACCGATCTATAATTTATATAACCGTCAGATGACGTTCCATAGGTGGTCATAGTTTACAAACTCAGTGAAACGCTCCATTAAATTTTCAAAGCAAAGTACATCCATAAATAGTGCACTTCCAATTAAAAGTAATAAATCTTAAAATGAATAACATACAATAACTATAGGATTATGTCATTATGTTGTATCGTATGTGGTACAGTGTTTTTGTCATTTAACCTCTAAACGTTTATATTATGCTGTTGTCACAGATAATACGTATCTTTTAAGATACATTTTTCAATTAAAAAAAAGAGGATACATATCGAAAATATTTATACACATTGTCTCTTCATCTATTTCTTCATGTGTTCAGTACCAAAGGCGAATGCTTTAAATTTATTCACACGATGTCCCGGGTTATATTGCGGAAGAGATTTACTGCCTGATGGCAATTGGAGTGACTGTAGTGCATGTCCTCGAGGATTTAGAGCAAATGCATCTTCAATATGTGTGCCTTGTGATGATGAACCAATGCTTTATGATTGGCTCTATCTTGGATTTATGGCATTATTAGCACTAGTATTACATTGGTTTTGTATTGATATGGTAGCTATGAGGCGTAATATACCCAAGGAAGTGATAGCATTACACTTATCTGCTTTATTTGAAGTTGTTGCTGCATCTCTTATTACTTTACAATTAACTGATCCTATAGGTACTTTTGAAATTAGATCATGTAGAGCCACCAAACTTTCAGACTGGTATACATTATTACATAATCCTAGCCCAAATTATGAGGAGACTTTACATTGTACACAAGAAGCTGTTTATCCTTTGTTAGTAATTACATAACCACTAACTTATTCAGTACCTTTCTATTTGAAAAATTAATCAATCGTTCAATTTTTAGGTACACTATGGTGTTTGTTTTTTATGCTTTAGGAACAGCAATAATGTTATTGATAAGGCCAATGATAGCTAAAACATGTTTACCAATGCAAGGAAAATTTTCAATTTATGCTGCTCTTTACTTCTATCCGATATTAGCGTTGTTACATGCAGTTGGTAGTGGTTTGATATGTAAGTAAAGTAATTTGCATTGTAAAAATAATCTATTTCTGTATTAAAAAAAAATTATTTCCAGATTATTCATTTCCGTATATAACAATAACATTATCTGTGTTGTCTAATGCAGCACATTTTTCATTTAAATTAAATCAGGTAATTTTTTTTAATATTTATGTTGAAATACAGTTACATATTGGATATTATTTATATAATTCCGTATCTTTTTCTAGTCAATGAAGGCATTATTGTTGAGTTGTGTATCAGATATGAAGAATGCAATAGTTATTTTAGGCCACTGGCTTTTCTATGGGTATGGTCTGATGGCTGCAGCAACTTTTCGCGGTCTTGGTATTCATCCGGCAATGCTTACTTTAGTTCCTTTACCAGCATTATTTTATATTCTTACAGCAAAGTTTACAGACCCACAAAAACTTCATATTCAATAAACATAATTATAAAATTATTTATTATTCGTGTAATTATAATAAAAGGCTCATTCTTTAAAAATAGTGATAGGTTAATTACAGAATTCTATATTTTTACTGCATCACATTTAATTATAGAGTTCACAAAAGCAGTACATAATCATATGTAATAAATGCCATTACATGAAAATGATAAACATGAGATTATTGTTAATCGTTTAAGCGCTTTCTGTTTCGTAATTAACTCTTTGGCACAAATGTTAAAACAACTGTGCTCTTGGACGATATAGGAACCTTACTAGAGGGTAATTTAGTTCTGCAAAAGAAAAAAAACATTTGATTAAAAACAACTGCTATCGCAGTTTTCAACTTTTTAATGAATAAAACAAAATGGATTGCGAAATTATATTTTACCTTATTGTGTCGCTGTCCTGTACATAATTAGGACTATATGCAACTACACTAACTTCATCCGACATCTGTGGTATTTCGGAGAAGTCCACCACAGTAGACTCTTCAGCTGTTTGATACGCTACTAAGTAACCAGGATTGCCGCTCTTTAACCTAGACATTTATTTAATTCTAATGTGATACAAATTCATATTTAGTTGAAGAAGAAATAGAAAAATTGACTCAATTTTTAATAACGTCAATTAGATTAATATTGTACACTTCCGATTAGTCAAAATCGCTATTATTCAAAATTACATCTACAGAAGGTTTCATGCAATATGTTAGTGAGAGGACTCACCAGCTCCTGCGTTGCATAGAAGAAAGCGTGAAACAGGGCAAATTAATCTTGGTTAGTAAATTACATATTACACTTGTGTGAGTTATTTGAGGTTTAAGTGTAGTATCAAAGGATGACTGAAATGATCTGTGGCAGTTATGATTTAAATTGATTGAATTCTTTTTTAGCACACAATAGCTTCAATTATTTAATTTTATTTTTAACAAACCCAATACCATTTATTCAAGTTTTAATCATATTGTAAAATTATTAGACATATTTAGTGTATGAATTAAAAAAACAATGTTAATAGTGAAATAAATAAAAATACTGTTACATTACCTGGTGTATGCAAATACACTTCCATTGACAGTCTTAAGTAGTGTCTCCCCATGAAGGAATGTTGAGCTTTCACGTGCTTTAGCTAAAGTTGCAAAAGCACCCTTTGCAGATAATGTGTCATTCAATTTGAGCACTGGAGTTCCAGGTAAAAGCAATGTCATGAGGGTCAAGCTGTCTGCAATGTCTGCAGGCATTCTTTCTCTCAAAGTGCGCTGTTTGCCATTAATCTGAAACGTCAATATAAATATAATATATATTCTAACATTATAAGCATATACATCTTGTAGAAACTTGCATCCCAAGCTGGCCAAGAAGTGAAATTAAGCCAATGTGAAAACCCGTGCCGCAAAGTTGTAGCATTTATACTGCTATCTGCAGTTGTGAGGAATAGCGAATTTTGTGGGACATCGATTAGTCTTTTCTTTTCATTGTAAACTTGTAAAATATCTGTTCCAATGTCATCTTGAAGAGCAAAGAACCTAAAGAAATTTACTTGATATAGAACTTTACTTGAAAATGTTTGAATATTATTATCAAATGCAACTAACCCTTTATTATTTGTTTCATTATAAACTCTTTCTTGCCAGTTTGTTAAGACTGCAGCATTTTCTGGACGATCTCTCGTATAAGCATGTACTAAGGAATCATAGTTATCTACTTCAGTAGGAATGATGCTTCTAAATTCATCACGAAGTTCCGGATCTTCGGTTAAATATTGAGTATTAGCTAAGCGAAATCCACTAATACCCAATTTTAACCAATGACTTAAAATATCCTAAATGTTGAAAATGAAATATTATTTAATGTTTCCTTAGACTTGTACGTAAGAAAAAGGACAAAAATAACTCACTGCAAATTCGGTAATTACTGCTGGGTTATTATAATTCAATTCAGGTTGTGTAGTATTAAACTGGTGAAGATAATACTGTTCCCTTTGTTCATTCCATTCCCATGCTGTTCCTCCATTTACACTTAGCTAAAAAAGTATACATGTTGTAAAGAATTGTATAAATACAAGGCAATTACAGCTTGAGAAATTATAACTAACCCAATTATTAGGTGCAGTACGTTTGCCGTCAGAAGTTATCTTCCCATCAGCCCAAACATAGTAAGATGTGAAGGGTTCTTCCTTTTCTACAGACCTTTTAAACCATGGATGTTCAGTTGATGTACTGCTTGGATCTAATTCCAAAATAATATGCTGCTCTCTATCTTTTGCAGCTTTTATAAGAACCTCTAGATCACTTGTAGTTCCATATTCTGGCTTAATGTTTTTGAAGTCTTCTGTACCTCCTATGT